TGTGAATCAAGACAATTTACCAAAGGTAGCCAATAACTAAAGGTCATTTCTAAGTCTAATTTCATGTTTAATTTCATTTGGAATACAACTGGGGTCCTATTTCTCGCCACCTGTCAAAGGTAAATCCAATGTTCACTGGCATTTTCTCCCTCGTCCTGTCGGGCCAACTCCTGAGAAAAATATCCAAGTCTTTATTGGATTGCTAGATGTTGGACTCTTTACCACTCACTTGTTTTACTCAATTACGGCTCTATGCCATTTTGCAGCATTCGGGGAGCATACAGTCAGACTGTGTGCAGAGAGCAGCTGCTCGAGAGCTGAAGGAGACTTAAAACTGAGGAGATTGGGATGTTGTTGTTTCTCATTATAAAGAGCTACTTGTTTGGATGTTAAAGCAATAGTTCGACATATTCACTTTCTTGAGAAGAGCAATGCCACTAGCCAGTAGTAGCCAGTTTAGCTTAGCATAAGGGCTGGAAACAGGGAGAAACAGCTCACCTTGCCCTTTCTGAAAGAAAACAATATCCACCTACCAGCTCCTCTAAAGCTCACTAATTAACTTGTTGTATCGTGCTTGTGTCCTGTCTTTGTGCTAAGCTAACTGGCTAAAACAAGTTGTGGTTTTACAGGGGGTTACATGCCAGACTGTTTTCTGGCTAAGAGCAGTTGCTAGGCAGGATAATTCATAAAGTGACTGCTTCACACCAAGAAGTATTCAACAACATTTTAACACTTTAGTTTTTGTATGGATTAAACAAATGCATACCAATTAATTATTGGATCCCTGTTTTCAGTCTATATTAAGTTAAGCTAGCTGGCTACAAGCTGTAGCCTTATATTTAACGTATAAACAAGAGTGGTATTGATCTTCTCATCTAACTCTGGGCAACAAAGAAAATTATATTTCCAAAATGTCAAATTATGACTTATGCTTTGATATAAACATTTTGCTAAATTAATCTTTACATTTCGAAATTGCAGTGTGCATGTGTGCAAGTATCTCGGTAACAACCATGTAGCCTGTTTAATTAAAAGTTTGACAGAGAAGTTAAAATGTTGACAACATGTCAGGGACAATTGTGCACAAAAAGGGCTGCCACAGCTCTTTCTGGCAACAGCTCCTGGAAGTTTCTGTCTATTTCTACACAGTCTGTGCCCTTGTAAAGATAGAAAAACAGAACAATAAAAACATATATTTAAAAGATGGGTTCACTGCACGGACATTGCCTCGTATATTTGATTACAACTACAGGATAATGTGTGTATCTGTGTGTGTGCGCATTTGTGTCATTACTGTGTCTCTCTCAAGAAGTGCAGGCAGCAGGGCCCGGCCTATTATTAACCCTCAAAGCCATGCTCGCCGTTTGAGGCAGCTGTGCATTTGGGCAGGGCAGGACCAACAAAGGACCAGCTTTTGTTGTGAACACACAGTGCGCACACTAGTGACACCGAAGTAGCTGCTTATGCGCACACACAGACAAACACAAACGTACTATCCCTTCGCATCCGTGCTCTGTAAACATAGAGATCGTCAAGTGCTGATTAATTAGTTAAATGCGCGGTTCGGCAGCACAGAGGCTTCAGATTCTGTCACCATGACGGCTGCAATCATCGCCACAGAAGGGCCCATTCTTCAAGCCACTACTGTGTTTATAGAGTAGCCAAACACACATGTTCGCAGGGCTTTGGCAAACCTGGTTGACAGTCACATTGGGGATAGATGGTGGACATAAATGAATATAAAAAGTCCTGTAATAGAAATAAAGTGAACATGTATTTAGTTTATTGTTGAGGTACTGACGCGCCATTGTCTCTGCGCCAAATGTGCCCAACAGTGACCATGAAAAACTTGTCTTTGATACTATTTCATGGTGGCAGCACCCAACCTTACTCTGCGCTGTTTGGATTCAGACATCAAAACAGTAGAAATACACAAAGCTGCACATTTGAGAGACATTCAGTTATGTCCCATGCTGCTTTGTTGAAAAGTTCCATCTTTCCTTTTCCAAGTCATTGCCCTTGTGAACATTTCCTTTTCCTGCTTTTCATTGCAAAACCTAATAAAAAGAATGCTTTGCTATCCATCTGCTGTAATTTTAAAAAGGCTATTTTATATTTAGTATATTCTTTATCATTTTTATAGTATAGTTTTATAGTTGTGGATTATGTCCAATTTCAACTGCACTACCGCAATGAGTCGCCATGGACAAATAAAAATATACAGCAAATACTTTAAAAAAGCATTAAATTATCCGGTATACACTTTACTTTAATCTCAGGTGCCAAGTACATTTCAGATTCAATGTCTCGGCTGAGTGACCCTGCAGTGGGGTTGGATCCTGACCTTGTCTGTCCATCTGTCTGTCAGTCTGTCTTCTCACCTCCTGTGTCTCCTGCTTTGCACACACACATACAGTACACTCACACCTCCACAACATCAAACAGATACACACAAACACAATACCCCATCTAACACACAGACACACACACACACACACACGCACATCGCAAGCATGCTCTGGTGTGCGTCACAAGGGCCATCTGCTTGCTAACCAGAGCAGTTTTCTACACACTCACATTCGTATTCCCTCTCATGCCACTGACACAAGTCTGTGATACTACTGCAGTAGTTTATCTTATTTATAATGATTGTATGATAGGTAAAATAATGATTCAATCTCAGCTCTCTACAGGTGAAAAAACTATTTAAAGACAAATTCTCAAAAACAGAATGTCTTACTAAAATACAATTTTATCAGGAAAAATACAAAAACAGGTAGAGCTTGAGTGGAAATCCTGAGTTGAAGGGAATGAAGGTGATGCAATCTCATTGTCAAATTACAAAGCCCTTTTAAAGGGTGAAGTGTTGATGGCAATTTTACTTAACTGCAGATCAGGAGCATGGTGTCCCATATTCTAACCACATTAATCATATATCCAGCCAAGGTGGTCGTATACACTGCCACAAAATGTTAATTATGCATAATCACCCTAAGGCATCATTCTGGATTACGGAAACAAGCATAATTTACATGTGTATGTATGTATGTATGTATGTACCGTATGTATGTATGTATGTATGTATACATCTGTATCTTTCATGCTGTATTAATCTATGTGCCTTTTTCGCTACTCTATCTACATATATTTGCATCTGATCTGTCTGTCATACCGGGGTTAATATGGTCTACTTAAGAGAGTGTTCTGCGACCTCCTAAAACTCCGAGCTGGGTGTAAGCTTCATGTTGCTACTTCACAACATGGCCTACAGAGCTGGGCTGGCACAGAAAGCTATTTTTAGCCACAGGCTCAAAGGGAGAGCTTACATTCCCGGCTGAACCGTGTCACTCACAAACTTTTCTCACACTTTTTTGTCAGAGTGCGACTGCAGCCAGCTACTTTCAGAGAGGCTGAGTATCTGTCTCTGCATATGTGATAGGGAGAGACTGACTAAATCTGAGTTATAGCCTTATGTGAAAGATTTAGTAAACGCATTTTATGAGTGCATACAAACGTCCATATGTGAGCCTGTAAAAGGGGAATACAGAAAAGAGAAAGAAAATCTTTGTCATCAGGCTTTCTTTCTCAAAGGTTACGCGTTTAAATGTGTTTTAGCGTGTGTGTATGCATAAGTATTATGCATTGATGAACCTCAGTGGTAGTTGGTCTTTCACACATGACTTATTGACAATGGCCCTGTGTTAATTAGGTTGACCCTTGCTAGTGCACAATGTCACACCTCCCTAACACGGCTTCGCCAGGCTGTTTATTAACCCTAAAGCTTTAGGACCCTAATTAGCATATGCCGCTGGGGTGAGGCTCTGAACGGCAGATAAAGAGGTAGATGATTTAGAATAGTTTGGACACACATATTTTGGGTAAATAAGTAGTAGTTCATGGCTGAGAGAAAAAAAAGCTGCTAAATGCATGCGCTGGCTTCACGGTCAATTGTTAAGTCAACAAGTTCTCCTGAGCATGCTAATTAAGAGTTGTTAACGCACCTACACACACCCTCGTGTACAGAGAAACACACACAGGATGTAATTATTGCAGCGGCGCACAACTTTAGTTTCTGTGTTCCAGCTACCGTCTTTACAAGTAGCAGAAAATGATGCAATCATCTCCCTCTCCCCAGTTCCAAGAAGCCAAAAAAATACAAAGCATAATTAATCTCCAAACTGCTGTCAGAGATACAGAAGCTTAGCAGTTCACAATTTGGTCCTTTAACATGATACTATAGTTATCAGTCCTATTGTGTCTATGTTACCCAATACTAAGTGACAGGACCCCTCAGTAATAAACCTGTGTACACAACTGTGCACTGTAATGACAGATGAAACGCTATCACCATAATCAGGCATCAAGTTTTCAGCCCCTTGAAAATACAACAACTGGCGCTCTGTATTATTTTACATCATCAGATACAAATTTATCTTGCGCCTGACATATTGTGGGGTAAATTTAATCCCTCAGAGGCCCCTTGTTTTAGACTGAAAATGAGATTAATCACAGATGGGTGTGCTATGTAAATATCTTGTGTGAAAGGACAGGGTGAGGGAGGAAAATGTGATAATGAGAGCAGAAAGACCGGACTGACAGAAAAGAGTGAGAGTCAGAGCAAAAGCAAAAGAGATATGTAGTTACACACACAGAGCAAGAAAAAGTGAGAGGTAGATGGAGGAAGGGTGGTTGCCCACTGGGTGTCTTTTTTAAATTGTTTTAGAGTGCTTGCAACCACATCTGAACAAGTCTTGCCTGTTCTGGCTGACTGTCTCCAGGCGCTTTAAGTTAAAATAACTTTTCATAGGCATCCTGTGCTCTCCTTTGTCACTTTTCATGGAATGACCAATCACAGCAGAGAAGGCAGGTTGACGCCATTGTTCTAAAGCACTCTCAGTGCTTTTCTGCTTGTTAAAGACATCAGGTGGACACTGACCCCTAGAGAAATGCAAAACCATTTTGTAGCTACAGAGATAAATATAAAAAAATGAACATCTTACCATCGTCCAGCGTGATGTCCTGCAGGCCGATGGAGCGGAACGTGGGCTCCCTTTCCTCTGGCTCCTGTTTGATGTTCAGCCTCTCTCCATCCGAGGGGAAGGGCCCCTGCGGGCTTAGAGGGTGAACCAGAGGCCCTGCTGCAGGGGACAGGCTGGCCATGACCGGGCTTGTAGCCTGGGGAGAAGGCTGTCCTGAATGCTGCTGTTGCAGGGGCCCCAGAGGACTTCCAGCAGAGGTGGGGGAAGATGAGGTGGGAGACTGGTAGGGCAGCGAGTGGAGCTGAGGGGAGGAAGGCCCAGAGTGCGGAGAGGGGATCATCCGTGGAGGAGGAGCGCTGGACGGTGTGGGGCAGGAGGCTGACCTTTGACTTACCGGGTGGTAGCCCATAGCCCTCTGCAGTTGAGTGGTGAGCTGCCCCACAAGGGGGTGGCCACTGGGAGAGGGCACCTGGGTGGGATTTGGGGAGCAGTGATAGCCTCCGAGTGTATGGAGGTGTGGGGATGAGGGGGTGAGCAGGGGTTGCTGGCTCTGGGGAGACCCAGCAATGGGGTTGGGGGTTGAAGAAGAGGGAGCTGATGGCGAGGAGCAAGGGGAGGAAGGATACACCATTCCCATGCCCATTGGGTGTGAAGCTGCACTGGGGCTGTGCTGAAAGGGCATCCTCTCATAGCCCTGAGGAGGAAGGCTGGACTGGCCGTTGAAGGGCAAGCTATGACAGTGACTGTGGCTGTGCTGCATAGGCTGGTAGGAGGGTCGGGGGGGAGCAGGAAGAGGAGCAGGAGCAGAGCTCGAGTGGAACGTCATGTGGCAGTCTGCAGGGGGGTGGTGCAAACTGCGACCCTGGAGGTGAGGCAGGTGCTGGAAAGACGGGGAGCCCAAAGAAGGGCAGGGGGGCTGCAAGGGTAGCAGGCCAGGTCCGGAGCCCGTGGCCAGGCCGTGAGGGGAGCTGGACAGAAGGTTGTCCGATGGGTGGCCCTGCTCAGGAGAAGGCAGCTGGGTGCGCACCAGACTGGCAGCATGTGCCAGGGGCATGGACATAGGGGGTACTGCAGGAAGGTCCAGCTCGTCTCTGTGCTCCTGTTTCACCATGACTAAAGAGAGAGAGGTGTACACAGACAGAGGGAAGAAGAGAGATGTGACGAAAGAGGAAAGACAGGCAGGATGAAAGACAAAAAAACATGTTGTCAGTTTTGTCTATCAATCAAAAATTGCAAGTAGGGAAGGAAAGAAATAGTCTATAAATTGGTCAAGTCACTGCATTGCAACATTTTCAGTGTCACTGCTATTTTTTGCTTCAGGTACAGTAGTCCAGTGACTTCAACCAGCTAAAAAAAGGCTGCAGTTGTTTTAAGTTTTCCTTTATTCTGAACCCCCAACTAATTCCCTCATCTGTGGCTTTAAAGGTAAAATATGTTTCAATAAAACCTGAAAAACTAGGTCATGAAAAGCTCAAAGCTGCGAGCATAGTCGCACATTTCATATATTGAAATGTATGGATTGTGAAATAGGTCTCCTTCCAGATGAAAAAAGCCTACCTAAAACCGAGTGACATTTTGATAGTAAATGGGGCCATTCCCTTTTACTGTGACAGCTCACAGCACTGCTATGCCAATCAGTAACCTATTTCCCAATCTGGTGCCTTGTGACAGTGAGTTTTATTTTTATCCAGCTCTGAATCAGAGGGAGAGCATATGTTGTCAGTTCAGGCGCCATCATGTGAAATGCTGTGTGGGAAGAGGAGCCGAATGCCCCGCAGCCGAGATCAGACCAACAGAACAAACAAGTTCACTGATCTTGCCCTCCGTTCACCCCATCATGCCTCTGGGATCGAGAGGCAAGGGGCACAAAAAGGCCAAGCGGGGTTTATTCTGGCTAAAAATGGAGCCAGAGGCATATCAAGGGTAAGGGAAGGGTAACATACTGTATATTCAAACATGGAACATAATTGAAGTCAGGCTAGCACTGTTTCAAAACCTAATAGTGTGCTCCTTATGTTCTGTACTGCTGCCTGCCTGAAAATGTAACAATTTCAAAATACAGAACAAGAACAAATGGCATTTTGTCCCCCAAATTTATTCCACAACATGTTTTTTTCCAGCCAATTTTCTCAGAATTCATCCTTGAATTAGGCCAGGGCCTCTGCAGCCCAGCCCACGATAAAACTTGCCACAATAAAGCAGGCGGTGTCCGTGGTGACACTAGTGGTGTCAGCAACCCAGCTTGACTGACGGAGCAGGGTTACTCTACTCTGCTCTGATTGGCCGCCCTAATCTGTCAACGGTGAAAACAGGAACTGTCTGTGCCGAGTGGGCGTGCTTGCAAACAGAAAGGTTGGGTGGGTGGAGGGGCCAGGCCGCTTATATGCGTACACGCACGCACAAACATCCACACTGTTGTGGTAAAACCCAGGGTTTAGATATGTTGCACAAAATGCTCACATGTCATTATATTCCGCCAACGGTGTTTTCAGTTTGACTGGCTTCAAGAGGAAAAGACTACAATAACAATATCAAATAGCAAGGCAGGAATTTGACTAATGAAAAACACTGAGGAAACTTTCAAATCTAAATATCATGAACACAAGTTTCCTTGCAGCTAAAATAATTATATCAAACCACAACTCAAAGTCTATATATAGTTAAAGTTTCCTGGATAGCAAAAGATTTGCATCATAAAACCCCATGCAAATACAGTATATGTGAGAAAAAAAAGGTTGGCTTGAGAGTTAAAGTAGGCTTTGCAAAATAAACAGTTGGCAGGTGTTAATGTTATTGTTAGTGGAAGAGTCCCCTCTAAACCACAGCAATGCTTTCTTTGGAGTGAGAAAGAGAGAAATGGGGTTAGTGAAGCCCCTGTGGAGAAGTGTGCAACACAGAGAGAACGTTACAACTGTCTCTGCTGTCAGTCAAACTTCTTGTCATTACCTTGGGAGATTAACTGCGGCAGGAAGCAATGCACCCAAAGGAACGCAAAGTAAAGCCTGACAGAATCGCTTTGTGTAAATGTCTGTAAAATGAGCTGCAGGAAAATTACATCTTAAATACTTAAAAGCACATAAAAACAGCATAAGATTAGGAAAATTGTCAAACTGGCTTTGCCCCCAAGGATTATTTTTTAAATATAGCAGTTGTAAGTCGAGGTTCATGAGAGCCTCTCATCTCACCTGAAAGGTAAGTGAAGCGTTGCGATTGGCTCCTTTTCCGTTTGCCATTGCAGACATAAAACTGCACCTGCACAGCTGAGCCCACAGTCTTACTGTGGTAGGGAGGGACCTCCACCACGATGCACGACTACAACAAATATTTCACATTATTTACATACACTTATTGCCCAAAACACATAATTCCATTTGCATATAATAAAATGCAGATACTAGTACAAAAAATACAGAAAGAAATACAGACAAGTTTATAAAAGTGCAGAAATTAAAGACAAAATGTTGTAGAATAACTGTACAGGTCAAAAAATGACTACTTACTCCTTGAGATTTCTCACGGATTATTTTTGCCTCAACTTCCCATTGTGGTCGTCCATCTAGAAAGGATGAATAAGAACAAAAAACCTTAAAAAACCTTAACTTTACATACTACAGAAAATACTAGAATCATTCCCGTCACATCCTGTCAACTATCAAATAAACGGTTGGCAGGTGTTAATGTTAAAATCAACTGTAATTCCTATTACTTGACAGACCAGTTCTTAAGTGCAGGTCTGGCACAAACAGAGTACCCTAATGCTTGGCTTTTCAATGAAGAAAGGATTGAGAGCTTCATAGCTGAACCTCAGACAGACACTTGTGATGAATCAGACTACAGTATCACTGTATCACATACAAGTCACAAACATTCATACAAGCACCTTCAAAAGCCACGGTTAAATTAGGCATAGAAGCCACAAATGAATGAATTGATAAAAATGAATAGAATTTGAATTGATAACTAACACAGAAGCAGTAATAAACCCAGGCCACGCGTGAACACAAGTTTTATCATTTAGACCCCTTTTGAAGTATAGTATGATATTATTCAAAGTGACTTTCCTCATCTGGAGTAGTTCTCTTTCTTAATTTTCTATTTTCCTAAAGATGATGTCAGTGTGCAGCACTTTCTCAAACAGACAGGGCTCAGAACCACATGAGGCTTCAGGAAAGCACACGATTTCAATTTGTCCTGGAGAACTAAGAGACATCAAAATGATGTCATTTTTAAAGGTCCAGAAGCCCCATGGAGAAAATCTTAGCAGCTATTAAATAGCAATCAAATGTCCAAATATCCTGCTGTTTGTCTTGCCTGGTTAAAATTATGGAGAGAGCAGTGGAATAATTACATTTATTTTAAAATGCCTTTACACACTGCCAGGTTTCTGGCTAGAAAACATCCTTTCCAGTTTTCCTATGAGGGATCTAATTATTTGGCCAGACATCTTAAGGGCAGCTGCTTGAAGGGAAGCAGTTGGGGTGAAAACACTGACAGGCTTGCCGTGTGGTTGGAAGAAATCACAATCATCACAGCATCGAGAAGAATAAAAACTTAGTCAGTACTGTATAGTCTCTAAGCGGAGGCAAATTCATTTTACAGTCCCCCGTTTCATGGTGCTCACATGGTGGAAGTATAGTCTGCACCTGCATGGCCTCTTCCTCGAAACCCAAAGGATTCCCCCAAATACCACTGTCAGACATCTGCAACATGTCTGCAGAGGGGACTAGCCTATATGTAGAGTAAGCAGTCATCTGTAAGCCTTGCAACATTTAGGCTATTCAACTTTCTACCAAAATCCGCACTCTACGGTAGCTTTAAGTATATGGTTTACCTGTTCTGATCTCACCCTAGCATTAGCCTTAGTTGTAGTAATCCACTGGCGCATAACCCTTGAGAGATTATCTGTATTGTGAAGGAAAAGGTTAACTTGTAGATGACAGTTTTTTTTTTCCCAATGAGCAAATGACCTTGAATGTCTTTGCAGCTGACAGCAGTGCATTATTGCAGTGCAGCTTGTTGACATTCAACAGGCAGGAGCAAGGGCCCCACATGCTCTGTCAGACAACAAGCACCAACAGGAACCTCATACCACACTAAGACAATGACTCGGATCATCCAGACACCCTGCACACTCCAGTCAGAGGGAGGGGGGGCGGGGAGAGCGTGCACCCACTGTGCCGGAAGATCGAGCAAAAGTAAAGGGGGTGATTGCTGTTTATGTTGTAACATCTTTGTAAAAGCCCACAGTTGTTTGCAACAGAAACAACACAGAGTACACATGCTGTATTAGTCACTATTCAGGGCAGCCAGTGTTAGAGCCTTTAAAGTCCACTCCTTTATATAAACATTCACCCTTGTAAAGTAGAAATACTCATACCAATTATGGAAATATTTCTAACTTTAATGTTTGATGAAGCCCCTTTATCTGTCTTCCCTTTCCTCTTCCTTTTATCCTTTCTCATTCCCTAAATACTACTTCAAAACACAATGAGATAGTTAACTAACTTTGGTGGGTAATTTACTAATATGAGTAAAAAAAAAAGCTTATATTAAGGTAGAAAAAACTGGAATCTCACCAAAGCTATGCATACTAAGCAAATGGCAAACTTAAACTATTTTATTACAGTTTATCTGCTTTAAATGGAAACAGATCCCACAATGACACATGCTAGGTTCTCTGTTTGTCTACATCGTAAAGTCATTCAAAGTACCATCCCATAATCTGTGTACTAGCAACAATAGGCCAGTCTCTGCAGTTTTTCACGAATCTGCTGTTGTTTTTCAATTATGAGAGATGGTGGAAAATATCTGTCACTGCCTCTTTTTTTCTTTTCTTCCATTCCCATATTTACTACAATCAGGGCCTTTCTGCACTAAAGCAGGTAGATTAGTCATGATGAGGGGGATCATTTACACAAACCTAATCAACATCATCTTCCCCTCCCCTTTCATATTCCTTCTGTCTCCTTCCACAGTCCACTGCCTTCATACACCACAGGGCCCCAGCTTTCCTCCCTCCCCAAGATGCACCTCTCTAAGGTTTCCACTTGCTGCTGTGCTACAAAGACATGACCATCAGTGAGCTGTTTCAACCATGCTACTTTACTATGCCATGCTTCACTTGGTACACCTCAGAGCTAAAGACATTCCTCTAAGCTCCTTTTTCCCCCCCTAGAAATTCTCAAAGAATGGCTCTCACTCGCAAAAAACAACACCACTCAACTTTCTGCCATGTGCGAACTTGATGCTGTTGCAGTACATCACAAAGGTACTTCGGGCAGGCAGAGACTGGCTCCACAAATGTTATCCATTTAAAATTTCCGCCCAAGGGAACAACTATTACATGTGTTTTGATTACGGAGTGGTGTACAAAAGAGAAAAGAGATAAGGCAGAGGAGACGAGTGACTTAAAAGAAACAGGATGAATAGCAAAGGGAGTTTAACCAAGTAATCCCTTTAGCCTTGGCATCTGTTAAACAGATAATAACAACTTTTAAAGTGCCTAATTTTAGGAAACAGAGACTCATTCTACATTCATCCTGACTCTCAAGCTCCCACCCCCTCGACAAAGGTGTAGATAGAAGTCGATACTGCAGGGTGCAGCAGTGCATCCTGCACTGGCTTCCTAACTGCAAACACTGCTAACTGTGATTACTGTAGATGCAGTATGTGCCCCCCTTCACTATTCTGCTTCTTTTAGCAGTTCACACTTGCTAGTAAGTGTTAGACAGATAGTTAGACAAAATGGGGCTATTGATATTCTTGATACATAATTGATAAGGCATGCATCTGTTTTGTGTATCCATTATTAAATGCATTATCATGACCATATTTGCCTGTGACATTAAGCATGTGTTTCTGTCAGTGTTTTTTTCCTATACATATTTTACTTTCTTTGTCACATAAACTAATAAAAAAAAACCTCTAAGTAAGTAAACTAAGCATGGCTAATGAACAAAACATTTACAAATTTCTATTGTGTAATATATTGTCCCATGCTTACTTGATAGACAACATTACTAGCAGACATAAATCTGTTCTGCTTTTGACGTAATGCCCTGTGGGAGTAGAGGACTTGTGGCTGGGATAATGACAGATCTGAGGACTAATGCATGCACACGCACACACATAACTTTTTTTGGTCAAGAATTCAGTGGTAGGTTTAATACATTTATAAACTACATTTTATCTAGATATATTTATGTTCTTGTAAACATAAAGATCCTATTCCAAAGAAATATGGAAGACACAGAAGACATTTTGCAATAATGCAAAAAATATGACTTTATACAACACACAAAATAATACCCCAAAAGATTGTTCCACTATAGAAAATAATGAGAATTACAAGGTATAATTATTTACAAAATGGAAATTAAAAACCTCCTTTTTATAATTCTCATTCACTGGGCTCCAAAGTGACGTTTTCCTCCAGTTGCATCGGTGTTCCCTACTGAGATGTTTGAGAAAACCAGTCCAAATTTAAGAGCAGCATTTACTGTAAAATACACACTTAAGGCAATACACGTCTTTTAATATCCCCACAGATATGTATCAGCCATGACTCCTATAAAATCTTCCGAATCTTCTGCTGGCTTCTTCAACATTTGCAAGATCTACAAAACCTTTGTTTTAACGTGTTTGTTTTTTGCCACTGTACTGTCCAACAGACCACATCAATGACACATGGCCTCTCTGATACAATCTGCCAGACAACCATGAAACACGATTTTTTACGTGGATAATTGGCACAAGCTGTTTCTGCAGTGGTGGTTCAAGGCTAAACTGCTGTGTGGACATAACACTTACCAGGGCCTTTCTCCAGGAAGATGACCTTGGACTCTGGGAAGAAGTTAGAGCCAGTGATGACCATCTCTTCTCCCCCACTGACCAGACAGCTGGTCAGGCTGGATTTCTCAACCTGGGGCAGCTCTTGAGCTGAACGCTGGGCTGGGAGAGACGCAGCAGGGGTTGAGGAGAAAAGAGGATGATCATTTGCTGAGCTGTGCAGTCTATTATTTAGACTATGGTTATACTACAACATAAGCAGGCAAGTTAACAGGAACACCTTAAAAAATAATGCAGTTTAATGCAAAATTGTCAAAGAATACGGTCTCAAAAAAGACCACAGTCCTTACAGTCTTAACAAAGCGGGTAGTATTTATTGCAGAGCTATGGTAATGGCACAGACAGAACTGAGCACATTTACATTTTTAACATTTATCAGATGTTCTTATCTAAAGTGACTTTCAATGAGAGCAAACGGGAGATTAAATCAACATCCTAAATAACCAGACTGCAAGCTTGCTAATAAAGAAGTTTGTGGAAAGGTTTGTGTGTGTGCTAGTCTGTGTGTGTTTTTCCTGTGCGTGGTTTTCTGAATGAATATGTTTGGGAGTGTGTGCATGCGTGCGAGACTTGAGGCCGGGAAGTTAACACTCACAGCACTCCACAGGAATAGAGGCAGCCTGCAGCGACAACACCTTCCCGTTGGGTTGAGGGATGTGCACTCGGAACACCACACGGACCCGTGTGTTCTTTCTTCCTATATCCGTCTCCCCCTTCCGCAGCTCAATGTCCGAGTTCCGCAGCTTGAGGATGCCAGCACAGTCGATACTGCAAGGTAGAGGGAAAATAGTTGGCCCCATACGGCACCACCGGGATGGCAATCATCTCAGACATATTTAAGAAGTGAAGGCCTGGGAGTGATAAAGTCAACCACAAGCCCAGCAGGGGATTGGCAATGAGAGGCAAATTAAGTGTTGAATCACAAAATAAAAATGCCTGTGAATATGATTTATTACAAGTGTAAATGAGAAAATCCCCACCAATTCCCTACCTAAGAATTCCAATGTAAATGAAACCAGACCTTATATAAATATAATCATTCAGGTGATGCAGAATCATAAATATTTGAATAAAGTTTGTTTCTCTGCTCCATGGGAAACCCTCAAATTTTCCTTGTGCCCAACTCCTGTTGGTTTAAATTAGGGAAATCTATTAAATCCCCTTTGGAAGATGTTACAACCCTGTATGATCATAAACGTGGTTATTCTTTCATTGGACAGGGCTTCCTTCATGGTGGTAAGCTCATAACTGAGCAATGTAACCCTGTAGTGCATCTGACACCTACCTGGCTGTCATGTTGTTTTCGGGCAGGAGAGGAATTTCGAGAACTTTGGTGCTGGAGACGATAATTTCTTGGCTGGCCGTGGCTACGGTTTTCCCGGTGATCCGGTGCACCTGGTAGAAGGCGTGCGGCCTCAAGTAACGGTCGTCTGCTGTTCCGATGAACATCTGCAGGTTGACGGGCTTCTCACTGTAGCCAATGAGCTGAGACACAACAGAGAGAGAGACAGAAAAACAGAATAAAAACAGATGTGAGTTCCCGGGGTCCAGATGAGAGGTGTGAACAAAGGAATACTCTTTTCATTTCCACGGCATTCAGAAGGCCACCTTTTTTGGAGGGAATCTAAATGTCAGGTCGAGGGTGTTGTGATATTTCTGGCAGGGCCACTGGAGATTCATCTGGCGCTTTGGCCTCCAACCAGTTTGACACTGATGTTTTCAACTAATAGTCTTATAATTTTTTCCCCTTGCACGCCTGCCCCTTAACAGGACTCTGTGCAGGAAACTGTTACCTCCAAAAACTTAGCAGAACCTTGAAACCTGGCCTGGTCAAAGACAAAATAAAAATGAAAAACTCTGTGGAAATGTGATATCTGGTGAGTTTATCTTCTGTAACACATTTTAAATTTAACATAAAATCGTACAAAAGCATCATTCACATGATTTTCAACTCATTCTGTGAGGTCTTGTGCATATAAAAAGCCCTTTAATGGTTACACCATGGCTAAAAGGAAAATAAAAATGCCAGTAAAAATGTCAACAGCCATTTCAAATCCAGTGTTTGGTGCGTGCCAACCTGGTTGGCGTGGGACAGATAGACTAGCAGCTGCCCTCTCCATTAGTCCCCGACTGGCACCCCGATTTTCCCTCAGACAAGTGAAATTTTCAATGAAGGAAAAGTGTTGCGTGTCAAGTAGAGACAAGGGGAAGATGGAAAGGAGAGCAAGACCTTTCCTCCTCAGAGGGACAGAACAAACACGCAGGCCACACAATCCCACTACTGTTGTAATGTTGTACTTGGCAGACTGCGTGACGGCAAGATGGCACCCCCCGCACATACACACTCCCACCATACTGCCCTCATGGTCCACACCTCCAGCGCAGATGCAGGGCAGCAGAAAAGAACAAGGCCATTCATTGGTGTTTCACCTCAGGAACTGCCAAGCCTCAACCCCACCACAGCTGGCTACTGACCCTTTCCTGCCTGCAGGTTTGCGTCACACACCGCTGTGTCAATGTTTGGTGGGTGGAAGGAGAGAAAGTGGGTGTAGCTTGGGATTTGTCATATGCTATTCCAAAATCATCTAAAATAAAAAAGTCTTGGTCACAATCAGGCCCTAGGAACCTATGTACCCGCAGAATGTGCACTAGCAAAGAAATGCTGGTAGCCCCTGCTCATTTTTGCATCTTCCTCTCTTTCTCTCTCACGTGCTACTTCTGAGACGGCCCCCTGTGGTGAAGTAAGTCAAGGTATGGGGGCACCTATGTTGAACTGAGCTGTGGAAAAACTGAAATGTGCTGCGTTTACGGCAGGCTATGTGAGAGGACGAGCCTCTAGAGGCAGATTCTAGGCAGGCAGGCGGCGGAGCTTAAATCTTAATAGTGCTGCACTGTTCTTAGCTGAATAAAAACCTTGTAGGGTTGTGCTGCTGAGCTCAGTAAAGACCCATTGGTTCCAAAGAAAGGAATGAGCTGGAATTAATACAAGGGAAAAAGCAAACTGTAAAGCAAATGAAATTAGGCTTTTTGTGACTACTTAACACCAAATTAGTTTGGAGATGCACAATGGCTACCCTACCCTTACTCCTTCAATACGTGTACCTTTTGTAGATAGAAGTAGCAAGCAGAAAGTAGTGAGTCCTTTGCAGTGCCTTTTTTAAAACCTATACTGAACGCTTCTCTTTCACTTCCAGTGTGGCTACCGCAGTGTCTCACTTTGTTAATGAGAGGAGAGGCCAAAGGCTATACAAAAGTCTGTGCTGAGAAGTGCAGGTCCAGGCTGGCTAAACTAATACAGCTTCAGAGTGAGCTGTCTGGTTCAGATGAGCGTTTGCTGCAGTTCACTTGAGAAATTTGGAAAGAAACTATTTTGGCAAATGGAAAAAATAAAACAAAACTCAAAATCTGAAAGAAGAAAATCTTTACAATATTAGCCTTGCAATGAAATGAAACAAGGGACTGGTTTTACACTAGACAGGGCAAGGCTGTTAACGAAGTGGAAATTTGACGTTCATCTTATAACGTCTACTTGACCAAAACTGTGGAAAAAGCATTGTTGTTTTAGTAAGTGGCAGTTATTACTCATGTATGATTACATAATTTGGGAAAGGTTTGTTTATCGGTACCAATAAATCAACGATTCCTTCGCCAAATGTTACGTTTTTTTTTAGGCTTTTCAAATAAAATTTCCAACCCGCAGGTCTGTTTTGAAGCAAAAACTCCCTGCCCCAGGGAATGTTGATACTCTTCCACCACATCCTCCATGTGTTTTAACTGCTCAGTGATGGAGGCATGTCTGAATTGGAGTGAATGACTGAACAGATCAGTAATTCACCTTGTTTTTGGTTGTGTATGTCTGTGCCTCTTTACAGAGGGCGCTGCAGGAGACAGAATAAAATCTGAGTGACACTAATCACAGGGATGATGGCATTTTCCTGCTCGCACAAAAGACAGCATATATTTTTTAAATCAAACTCGTAAACTGGAACTGACAGCTGTTGCATATAGTAAGATAACTCCCCTGTTCTGTATGTGGCACATGAAATGTATTCGGAAGGAAGTTGCACGAAGGACCAGCATGAGGCCCCTATAATAGCCAGTAATGGGTTCATCTTTGAAAACCACATTAGATCTTAAGAGCCACATGAAAGTATAAATCAGGTAATTATGCACCCCGGTCTGAATGGATCCGTGGCTGTAAATGACACCATTATTCTGGATTCAAAGAAACACAGAGTCACAGGAATCAACAGTCTTGCGGCTTGTGTTGCTTGTTTTATGATTATGTCTGCACACTGTGGAAGTGAGCGCAGACAGTCAGTGCTTGCACGTGTATGTTTGTGTGTGTATGTGTCCATAAATCAGGGCATGTTTATTCGCAGCACCATGTGTGTTCCAGACAGCATAAAATGAGTTAACAGTGTCTGGAGGAATGTAACTGTGAGAGAGGATAGACGGATGTAAAGAAGACTGAAAACGCTTCACGGGTGTAAATTAGAACAGCACAAAAGGAACTGAAAAATGGGAATACAAATTTGAAAATAAAATTGAGGTTCAACATGTTTAATGTTTAATAAAGTAGAAGTAAGATTTATTTTTCAGCTCTACCCAACTCAAAATGTCACCACAAAACGTCCCATATTTTTTTTGTCTATCTCTCTGAGGGATTTGGTGCGGAGCCAAAGTGTTGACAAACATACACTTAGCAGGCCAGGAGTTCTGTCCAAATCAAATAATCAACCAGGAAAACCTGATTAGAGGGCCAGAAAGAAAGGGCTCACTTCAGCGCTCCCAGTGAATCAACACTCGCAGCCAAACAGAAACATGCCACAGTCACAACTGTTACTAAAAACATAATTATTTTTTGTTTGGTGTTTCCTCCATTCAGTTCAATTTGATTCATTTAGATAATTTAACAAAATGGATACAGTCAACAATAACTGTAAGCCTTACAACACAGAGCTGATTCAAAAAATAACATTTACTTTAGCAACAAGAGATCATTTTCAAATCAGTTTGCTCTCTAACCTGAACACTGTTTTACATCCCTAAAACAGGATTAGAACTGTGTTTAGTTACAATCAGGCCCTAGAAACATATGTACCTGAGAAAAGCTGTGAGCAAGCACTAGCAAAGAAACGCTGGTACAATGAAACCATGAGCTCCTCAAATAGTCCAGGCGCACTTCAGGGGCCCATTTGCACCTTCAGTTCAGAAAATGGGTAAAGCACCACCTGCAAACAGCAGGACACGTAAACAAGCACACATGGATAATACCAGGCGGAGGAGGCTTCTCGACAGTGAAATACACATGACACACACACACACACACACACACACACACACACACACACACACACACACACACACACACACACACACACACACACACACACACACACACACACACACACACACACACACACACCCTTGACTTGTTTCACATTCCTGAGTCACCCCTCCACCACCCCCTAAATCTATGCTTGAGTGTGAAATACCACAGGAGGGTGGTCTCTGGACAGGGAGAAAGGTGAGGAGTTTAAAGTGCAGAGTGCACTGAGCCCATCTGGTCAGTCAGCGAGTAACTGAGGCCTGACAGAGATCAGTTCTTATATTAAACCACACTGACATTAAAACTGGTCACATGTCCCCCGGCCTGTGCTCGTTGAAGCCTGTAACTGACTTACGGCGGCTGCTGCTGCTTCTGACTGTGGATCGAGTTTAGGATGAACTCTCTCCCCTAAAATAAAACCGCTGGATACGGTTACATACTCAGCTCCCACTAAATAAAGTCCCCACTTATTTTTGGCCTTCATCTGTTCCACTGATCCAGTAATAAGGCTCACAAGCTGAGGGGGAAAACATCTCCCATCACAGCATACACACATAAACAGTCACCTGGTCATACCCACACCAAAGTGTTTGAACCTTTGTTTAAAATACAAAAAAATGACAGCAGTACTTTGACCTGATCTGGGCTCTAAGAGTTTTGATGATGGGATATTTACATGGTAGAATTTCACCTGCTCTCTGCAGCCTCTCTTCACATACTGCATTCTAGCAACTATATAAGTATTCATTCTTTTTCTGATGTAATCTCTTTTCTTAAATTTATCCCTTAATCTGTGCTTTTTATTTTTCCTCTTTTCTGAATCTTTCCTCTTCACTCCTTCTCCCACCCTCTCCTATCCTGACTTCCGTTCTTTGTTTCATCTCTTCCCTCTTCTTTTCCCTTTGTCACTGTCTCCTCTCCGTCCATGTCCTCGCCTCTCACCTACCTCAGCTCCAGCCCCTCTGCCGTAACTCGACACTTTCTCACAGCGAGCGCCTGACTCTGCCAAGTTGTTTCCCTGTGTTGCTCCACTGTTGCCATGGTGAGACTCTCTGTGTGTATGTAGGAGTGTGTGTGTGTGTGTGTGTGTGTGTGTGTGTGTGTGTGTCAGCGAGCAGCTACGTACACTCACGCTGGTGTAAACTACAGCCCT